CACATTGTCTCTTGAATGTCACTTGAATGAAATCACCTATCTCTGTCTTCATATCTTGGATCTTTGACAAAGTTACTATCTGGTAAATGCCGTGAAACTATCAAGAAACTTTCGACCAAATACAGGTAGTTATTAGATCCCTGACCACCTCTCTTCCATCTCAAGTTTCAAGTCCTCCTGTTTGTTTGCTTCATATATATAGAGAGAGAGAGAGCGAAGAGACTAAAACATATATGTATAGTTGTTATATAGAGGATAACAAGAAACATGTTGTCAGTACAAAGACATAAGACCTAAGACGTAATATGTAAGATATAAACTTATTACTCTAGACTTTGTATCGTTAAACGTCTGTCACTTGCAGAAATGTTAAAACAATTCTCCCCTCAAGCTATTTATTCTCATCTTTAAATCCTGACAGAAATTTCTAAATTATTCAATCGGAAAATTATTCTTTCAAAATTTCATGATTCTATTTACAATCGGAAATTTGTATTTTATAAATATTTCAAGAAGAATGCAAGCGTTTAGTCCAAATCGAAATGATTCGCAAGTTTTCAACTTTTAAATGAACGAAATATTATCAACTATTTCTGATTAAAATTAGAATTTAAAATTAAAAAAATTAAAAATTGAAAAAAATAATAATTAAATAATAATAATTTTAAAAAAATTAAAACTTTATAATTTATTTTTTTTTATACTAGACGCAATATTGTAGAACAAATAAATTTTATTCATTGAACGTTTAGAATTTTAGGAATGTTCGATGTTCTAAAATGTTCGATGTTTCGATGTTCCTAAAATTCTAAACGTTCAATAAACAAAATTTATTTGTTTTCTTTTCAAATTGAATTTTTTTTACAATAATTTTGTGTCACAAATTAAAAAAATTAATTACAATTAATTAATTATGAAAATACTTTTAACAATAAATATTTCGTTCACTGAACGTTCAAAATTTATTTGTTTCTTTTTCAAATTAAAATATTACAATAATTTTAGGTGACAAATAAAAAAAAATTAATTACAATTCATTATAGTCAAGTTAATTGAAATTAATTATAATTAATTATAAATTTATAATCAAGTTAATTGTAATTAAATTAATTAATTATAAAAATATTTTCAACTATAAATATTTCCTTCATTGAACTTTCGCAGAATTTATTTCTTTTCTTTTCAAATTAAAATTTTATTACAATAATTTTGCGTCACAAACCAAAAAAATGAATTAGAATTGTAATTATAATTAATTTAATTAAAATTAATTTGAATTATAAATAAATTAAATAAAGTTAATTATAACTAATTATAATTACGATAAATTAGAATTAATTATAAATTTATAATTAAAATAATTAAGAAAATAATTTTAAGGTAAAATATTTCGTTCATTGAACGTTCAAAACTTGTGGATCATTATAAATAATTGTTGCATTCAATCGAGTATTCAATAATAAAATTTTTTAAATTCTTTAAGTATTTAACAAAAATAACAAATCCATTTTTGAAAAATTTATTATAAACATACAATTTTTATGCATTTTCATAAAAATGTTTACAATATTTTTTGCAAAAATAGAATTGATTTTGCTAAATTTATAGTTATACGATTTACACTCATTTAATTAATATTTGTTTACTCAATCGTATTGTTTATGGAACTAAAATAAAATGCATTGTTTAAATAATAATTTATTTAATCTACGTTATTTATTTTATTAGAATAAAAATATTACTTGAAAACTATGGGAACATCGAGTGACATCTACCAGTGGATTTCCGATTTGGAAAAATCTTTCATCCCTTAAAGGTTTTACCTCTCGTCGACAAATTGTCATTTTGAAATAAAATAGGAAAATTTTAATCGCAAATAATATTACCAACGAATTTAATATGATCAACGACCAATAATTTATCTACTTTCAAAAAAACAAATTGTTTCTGATAATAGAAAAATAGACATTGAAATTATCTGCTTTGTCTATAACTTTTACAATACAACCAATACAACAAATAGAATAAATAATTAAATTTCTAAGTTATTACATAAAAAACTAAAAAATGTATTTAACAATTTTTTGTAAATGAATTATTGTACAAAAAATTATTTTAATTGAATAATTAATTTGTAAATTCAAAAAATTAACAAAAAGTCAATAAATCCATAAAGAGAATTAAACTCTTATTAAACAATAAATACGATAAAGTAAACAAATTAATATTAATTATAAATTAAATTATCTTTTGTTTTAATTAAAAAGTTTTTAATTTAAAATATTTTTAAATATTTCTGCGAAAATTGTCAAATAAACATAAATTACTTTTATATTTATTTACAATAGAATAAAATAAATAAAAATTTATTTTGATCACAATTTTACTAAGGATATCAAATTGAGACAAAAGAAGTTTGATTCGTTTTTTGTTTCAATTTGATATCCTTAGAAAAACGGTGTACACAAAATAAACGTTTCTAACAAAGAAGAAAACAAATTTTATCAAAAACCAAATTTTTTTAAATATAAAAAAATATTTGGTTCACTTAATAAAATTTGTATTCTATCAGCAGAATTAAATTTTTTCGATGGTGTTAATTTTTATATATTATTTTTATATAATAAAAAAAATGGTTTAAAGTTAAAAAAATTTTTTTTCTAATTTTTCGGAGTTTTTAAATATGTTTTCTGTAAATTACTAAACAATTATTGTGAAGTTGTTTAATAATTTGAAAAAAGAAATCAATCAAAAATTGTGTATAATATTTGGTAAATTTGCAAAATGGAAAAAATATTGTATTGTGACTCACCGAAGATGAATAATTTCATTGATGATATTGATCATCAACCATAAATGAAAAAGATATTTGAAGATTACAATGAAAATTACCTGAAGAGAGAAGAGAGCTTTTCCGATTGGAATCCTTCCAGTTAAAAAAAAAACTTTCCGATGATACACTCGAAAAATGTAAAATATTTGAATCAGTAGTATATTTAAAAATTTTGTACAAAAGTAATTTTTCAAAAATTCTTTTTTTAAATTAGTTAAATTACTAATAAAAAGAAAATCTTATTCGTTAAAAATGAAAACAAAATTTTTATTTTTTTAAATTTAAAATTCTTTATGGTAATAGTTCAAAATTAATTGTGAAAATTTGTCAAAGATTTTATGTTTATTTTCAATTTATTTATTTAAAAAAATTTTTGTAAATTTACTTTAAAATTATTATTATTGACAATATTTTTTAAGAAACTTTTTAATTTAGCAATCTTTGAAATTTCTATTTTTTGTGATTCAAATATTTTGTTTACGCGCACTGATTCGAATTTTTTTTTATAATTGTCAAAAAAAATTTATGAAACTTAATTATATTTTTGCAAGAAAAAAGCTCTAATATACTTTAAAAAACGTTTTTAAAACACTGATTGACTCACTATTCTCTGCATTTGTCGCCAAACTCTTTGAACCATTGCCAATTGTTGATGATGGCTGTCCGGAAGGGATAAGCTGCAATAAATTTTCATATTTTAATCAAAATAAAAAAAAAAAATATGAAATTCAAGTTAAAAAATAAAAACAGAACATATTCATTTTTTTAGATATCTTACCATAATTGTAAAATCCCTTCGATTAATGACAATCTCTCGGAAAATTTGTCTATTATTATTGACAAAATATATTTTGGAGTAAGAGAGCCGTCATGAGGAGGAACTGAAACAAAGTATACAATACACTTAAAAAATAATAATAATTTTTCACAAATATTTCCTATTTTATGATGGAAAAAATTTTAAATTCCAATTACGCAAAATAAATATCAAATTTTGACATAAAAATTGAGGTTATGTTTTTTGTCAAAATGTATTGTCAATATTATTTATTTATTTTATCAAAATATATTTACCATAATAGCGTATTCCTTCCAACGATTGAATTCTGCTTGAGCAACTTTTCTCTGGGTTGTAAATAAAATTCGAAAATATGAAAAACAACCTTTCAAAAAGACAATGTTCTAGAAGAATAAAAGTTGCTAATAGAATCCGTCACGATCGCCAAAGAATCTGCAAAAAAAAAGCAAATAAACAATTATTATTCACTTTGTAAATGATTTTCGAGAAAATTTTACGAAAAGTTTTAACAAACTGCTAATAATAGGCACAATGTGACAAAAAACTGTGTTGCAAAAATTCTCCCGGCCACCATTTTGAATTAGTGTCAAAAGGAAAATTTGCACTTTCACATTTGTGAAAAATTCACGTATTTTATTAGCCATCAGTAAAGAAAACAAGAACAATTCAATAATAAACCAACCCAAAAGTGTTGAAATTTATTTTTTTGAAATATTTCTCGAAAAAATAATGTTCGGAGCAAATGGCGCTGCGACAATGTAGAAGCAAGGCAAGAGACATTTTATGTATTTTAGCAATGCCCATCCTATTTTTTTCATACTATTTTTACAGAATATCATCCGTTTTACCTTAACTTACTACTAAAACATACAATTTTGTAAAGAAAACATGAAAAAATTACCATTTTGGATCGAAAATTCAGCAGGGAAAAAAGGACGCCATCCATTCAACAGAGACGAACTGGTATGGAACAAGAGTAATTTCCCAGCACGTCATTGGTTGAACGAAACAATCATGGAGACGCAATGAGAGATTGTGATTGGTGGACAAATTTTTCTCCATCAGTTCATTACTTCCTGTCTTTAAATTTGAATAATCTGAGAATGGTTTTATTAAATTATTTAAAATTATATAAATATATTTTTAATCTAAGAAGAAAAATAATACACAGTATGTAATATTTAAGTAATAAAAGATTATTTTATATATTAAAAACGTTTATTTACGGCCATATTAATCAAATATATGAAATTACTGTAAGCAAGGTTGGGTAGTTATGGAAACATTTCTTATGATTACGATCAATTACCGTGAACTATCCTTGTAAAGTATAGCGTCCCAACGCTGAATATAACCTTCTCACATATGAAATGTGTGTTAGTGGCCTGTCATTATGTGTGTTTACAACCTACAACTTTGGAATCGAATTTTCTCTCACATTCACAGGATACAAATTTTATATACTAATAAATTCAGCGTTCATATGAATTTGTACAAGTGACGTAGTATTTACAGCCGTCAAGTAAAACGTGACGGCAAACAACAGACTTTTGGTGACGTATTTGAAGAAATTTTAAAGAAATTTTGACAGACCGGTCAGAAAAACATTGAAAAAGGAGAATAAAAACAAAGAAGAATGTCAAAGTGTTCAGGACAGGTATGTTATCCATATTGTTCATCCAGAAAATTTACTCCAAAAACATGTGACGTTTCCAACCTCAAATTCACCTTTTTCTGATATCCAAGTTAAAAGACTTGTATTTAATTACTTTTTCCAATGTTTATCAATATGGGAAATTTTTTAAAACCCCTCAAGTATATTAGAATCATTGTTCTTTGTATTCGACAAATATTTATTAAGAATTTTGCAAATTTTTTAAGGTTATGTTTGCTGTCACATGCCATGCAAAATACGCAATTCCTCTCGGAAATTTTTAAAGAGCCCGTAGGAATTTTGCGTGTTTTTTTTTATCCTTATAACACAGAATTACAGTAAACAAGTTCATTAGCTGTTCATTTTAAGTTTCAATTTATAATTATAACCAACAACGCCATGTGCAAGCACATCGCCAAAAAAAAAAGAAAAAAATTCTGCGGGGTGGGGCTTAAACGTGGGTTTAACCCAGACGTTTGAAGGTAGGGTCAACAAATTTAAAATCATGAATCTTACAGACGTCTGATTTATTTTTAGATTTCACATGGTTTACAATTTAATGCTTCACCGACCTTGCTTTGAAAAATAATGATTCTTTTTAATCAATTATGCAACAGCTCTAAATGAAGTTTTATTCAATTGAAAATAAAAAACTATTGATAATAAAAAAGCAAAATTTTTACAAAATCTTATTATAATATTTATTTCAAATAATGAGCAAAGTCTATTGTAAAATTCTGAACAACAACTTTGACCTAAAGACATATAGAAATTGTTTGTAAACAAAGACATACGATAATTTTTCATTGCAAAATATTTCTTAAATAGAAAACAACAGATTCATATTTTTACTTGTTTTCAACTCTTCAGTTAAACTATTTCTATTTGACTATTTGAGGGTAGAAATAAAATTCTTCACATCTTATTTATAATTATATTTTTTTTATTTTCACAGTTTAAACCACATATTTGGAATCACTCTCTTCTATTATATCAATGCAAAGAATTACGCTGTGTATTTTCAAAGACTAAGTGTATTTGCAAAAGTGTAAAAATGGATGAGCTGTGATTTTCAAGATTAAAAAAACAAAACAAAGATATATGTTGAAATTAACGCCTGTGCCATTTTTATTCCATTCAAGAGATTGCAAAGTATTCAGATTGGATTATCTAATTGAATATTAGATATACTATAGATAGTATTTACTGGTTTAATAAACAAAAACGATGGAGGGAAATCACGTTTACAAACCCGAAACTGTCATGACAGACGTCAGTATGCAGGATTTACAGAAATTGCTAATCTACTTTTCAAAAAATACGTATCGAGCCCGTGATGCCGACAATACGGTAAATATTCCAGTTTTTCTGAATTGAAAATTAGTTTTTATTAAGGCAATTAATATTAAATTACTTAAATAAAATTTTCTTGTAGTCTAAAATAAAAATATTAATTAATAAAATACTTTCTCTATCAAGGTTGACACAAGTCAGGGAAAATGAAATCCATCAGGAAAATATGTCAGGCAATTTTATCAAAAGTACTGGAAAAATATTAAAATTCTAGAATTACTAACAAAATTCTAGATTTTTGTGTCAAAAAGCATTTTTAAAAAGCATAAAAACCTTGAAATCTTTATAAATTTTTTCCACCTTAAATTTTGAATTACAAGAATTTAAAAAAATTACCTTAATTTATTCATATTTCTGCAGATAATAAAATTTATTTTGAATAATTGAATTCTAGAATAACTCCAAGAACTTTATTAATTTTAATTAACAAAAAAATAAGATTTTATTTACAAAAAAAATTGCAAATTTTTAGAAATAATTAAATTAAATAATAATTAAAATAATAATAATTAAAATTAATTTATTAATTATTAATAATTAATAATAATTAAATTTCATAAGGTTTTAAACTGAAACTTTTCAAAAATTTCAGTTGCGTTGAAAAAATTAATAATTAAATATTTATTTAAAAAATGATTTAAGTTTTAAAGAATTTTATTAAAAATTTTGTAAAAAATTAGATTTTTAAGAAATTTTAATTCAATTTATTATTAAACTGATTTTGATTTAAATTTAAAAAAATTTTATTAAAGAAATTAATTTATGGAAATTTTATAAAATTTTATTGAAAGTAATTAAATATTTATATACAAAGTAATTTAATTACGAAGAAGTTAGAATTAAAATTTTTATTAATTAATTTTAAAAGGTATTAAATTAAATTTTTTAGCAATTGATCTTTAAAAAAAACTAATGTAAAAAACTTTTTAAATCAATTGAATATTTAAAACAACTATATTAAAATTTAGGAAACTAGTTAAATTTTCGAAGAATTAGAATTCAAAATTTGAAAACTAATTGATTTTATTAAATTAAATTAAAGTTTAAATTTTACAAAATAATTGAATATTTAACATAATTATTCTAAAGTTACAGAAAATAATTGAATTGTCCACTCATTTTAGTTTAAAATTCAAAAAATAATTAATTTATAAAATTATATAAAATTTTTTTTAATAATTGAATTGTCTAGAAATTTGAATTTAAAATTCTGAAAATAATTGAACACTTTAAAAAATTTCTTGGAATTTAAGAAAAGTAATTGAATTTTCGAAGAATTTTAGTTGGAAATTTGAAATCTAATTGATTAATAAATTATATTAAAGTTTTTGTTAATAGTTGAATTTTCTAGGAATTTTAATTTTAAATTCTTAAAATAATTGAACACTTAAAAATATTATACGAAAATTAAAGAAAATAATTGAATTCTCGATGAATTTTAGTTTGAAATTCACAAAATAATTATATTAAAATTACATTATAATAATTGAGTTATCCACAAATTTTAGTTAAAAAATTCGAAAACAAATTAATTTATTAAATTATATTAAAGTTTTTGTAAATAATTGCACTTTCTAGAAATTTTAATTTAAATTTTACAAAATAATTGAATATTTAATATAATTATTCTAAAGTTACAGAAAATAATTGAATTGTCCACGCATTTTAGTTAAAAATTCGAAAACAAATTAATGTATTAAATTATATTAAAATTTTTGTAAATAGTTGCATTTTCTTGGAATTTTAATTTAAAATTCTTAAAATAATTGAACACTTTAAAATATTGTATAGAAATGAAGGAAAATAATTGAATTTTCGATGAATTTTATTTTCAAATTCACAAAATAATTGAATATTTTAAATAATTATATTATAATTACGGATAATAATTTATTTGTTCATAAATTTTAGTTTAGAATTCGAAAACTAATTGATTTATATTTAAGTTTTCGTAAATATTTGAATTTTTTAGGAATTGTAGTTTAAAATTTACAAAGTAATTGCATATTTAACATAATTATTCTAGAAAATAATTGAATTGTCCACAAATTTTCGTTTAAAATTTGAAAACTAATTAATTTATTAAATTATATTAACCTTTTTTTAATTATTGAATTTTTGACGAATTTTTAAAGTAAATTTCTGAAAATAATTGAACACTTTAAAATATTATATGAAAATTTTAAAAATAATTGAATTTTTTGAATAGACGTCGGGGTAAATGTCAAAATTCTATCTGGAAATTAGGGAAATCAAAGTTGAATTTTTGTGGTAACCCTGTGTAGGAGGAAACAATATAATTTTAGAAAAGCATATAATTTTTATATATTTAACTAATAGTTAAAAATAATAATAATAATAGTAACTAATAATTTGTTTATTAAATGAAAATTGCAGAGTCAATCAATAATGCAGAGGTGTATATTGCTCGCCGATATGGATTATCAACATTCAGTAATAAATAACAATGAGGGCGATTTAAGTGCTCATTATCCGAGTCATTTAATGATCCTTGAATATGAGAAAAGTAAATTTCCAAACAAGTGTGATACTCCATCGTCACTGCCACGCACTACAGAGACAATTTACGAAAGTATGTGCGATCCAATTAGATTAAAGGAATTGATAAAAAGCGCAAGATTTGCACGTTGTAGATCAAGGTTTCCATTGCCCGTTATACTTTACAATGGAAGATATATTTGTCGTTCGTCTACCTTATCGGGAGGACCGGAAATTTATGGAAGATCAGGTCTCGATTATCTGTTTGCGTGCGGTGAAACGGGAACAGTCGTTGATGAGAGCTATAAGGAAAATACTGACGATGGATGTAGTCGAGAATCATTTGACAATGATTGTCCAGCGGTTAAAAATCAATTTGATAAAGTTCGTAAAAAAGATATAAAACTCCTGAAAGCACTTAAAGTTGGTCATATTATTGATTTCATGGTCGAAAATAAGAAGGTCAAGTTTCTTATGAAGTGAGTTTTTTTTAATTGTCTGTTCATTAAAATTTACAGTAAAGGAAAAATCCTTTTTTAATCTGAAGAATTTCCTGTATTTTTATCATTTGGAGTTTAGTTTTTCCTATGTTTGATGTTTTTGATTTTTAAATTATTTTCTAATTTTTATTCTACTTTAATGTTATTTATTTATTTCAACTATTTCTCTCAGTCCTTTCTGGACTATATATGGAATACAATAATATAATAATAATAAATACAGAAAATAGTTATGAATAAGTAGTTACGGTTTTTAATTCATTTAATAATTGTTGCAGCGTAACTTCCTCGGAGAAGGTCGACAGTGTTGGGAGATATTCAGAATTTAATATTGTTTCACTGCCATACCCGGGATGTGAATTCTTTAAAGAATTTCGAGAACATAATTATGCAGCAAATCATCTTGTTTTCGATTGGACGCAGGCCCACGTTGATGCCCATATTGGAGTTCCCGAAGATCAAATATCGTCGCAAATAGAAGTTAACTGGGAGGAATATCGAGACTGGGATTTACTTAAACTTACGCAAAATTATCTCAAACTTATTCTGCGATATGTCAATGAAAGTGATTCCGGAATATTAATTCATTGCATTTCAGGTACACTTTATTCTCAGATGAATCTATTTTTTAATTAACTATTTTTAATTATCTATCATGGTTGACACAGATCAGGAAATCAGGGAAAGTAAGAAATTTTATCAAAAGAAATGGAACAAATTTTTAATGTTCTACATTTCATAAGAAATTCTGGATTTTGCTGTCCAGCAGCCTTTAAAAAGATTTAATTCTTCTTGAATTTTTTTTTTATTTGTCATCTAAGAATCACCACGAATTTCAATACAAAACTTTAAATTTTTCTATTTTTGACAATAATTGAATTTTACTAAATTAAAATTGAATTTATTTTAAATAATTTAAATTTTGAAGAACTATCATAAAGTTATTATTCATAAATTATTTAGGGAATAATTTAACTTAAAAATTTCAAAAGTATTTGATTTTTATTAGAGTTGCGTTTACAATTTTGATAAATAATTGAGTTTCAAAATGTTACAAATTGCAGTTTAAGAAAATCTGAATTTAAAAAAAAATATCAATTAAAAATTAAATATTTATATTTTTTAAATTTTTATTCGCTTTTTTTAATTACTTGAATTTTTTTAATAATATATATAATTGAAAAATTTGCAATTAATTGAAATTTCATAAAATTGCGTTGTAAATAAGTTGATTTCAGAAATATTTTAAATGAACTTTCTTTTTTTCTTTGAATAATTGAATTCTCAAGGAACTTTCTCAAAAAATATTAACAAATAATTGTTTTCGAAGAGAATATTAGTAAAAATTTTAGAAAATAATTGAATTTTATAATAGTTTAATAATTTATAATAGTATAATAATTTTTATAAATAATTGAATTAAAAAAAGTTTCCAATTAAAGTTGTAGAAAATAAAAAGTTTTAATTATTTTTAATTCAAAATTTAGATATTATTTTTTTTTTATTTTCATTTAAATCTTTTTTTAATTAGTTGAATTTTTTAATATTGATACTTAATTCAAAAAATTTCAATTAATTAAAATGTTATGAAATTAAATTGTAAACAAGTGGATTTAAGAAATGTTTTAGATGAACTTTCTTCTTCCTTTAAATAATTGAATTCTCAAGGAACTTTCTAAAAAATTATTAAAAATAATTGATTTCGAAAAGAATTCTAGTAAAAATTTTAGAAAATAATTGACTTTAAAAAATTGAAATTTTAGAAAATTTTAATTTTAAATCATTTAATTAAAAATTCAGAATAAGTTTGTTTTGAAAAATTTGTATTAAAATTTTTTTTTTAAATTAGTAAAATTTTCGAATAATATATTTAAATGGGAAATTTTCAAGTAATTGAGATTTCAAGAAATTAAATTGTGAACATGTAGATTTTAGTTATATTTATTTATTATTTTATTTTATTTATTTATTTTATTTATTTATTTATTTTTTTATTTTTAATATTTATCTAATTGAAGTGAATTAAAATATTTTTTATGGAGTCAGGAATAAAGTCAAAAGTCTATCTGGAAATCAGGGAAAAATAGAAGCAAATTTTTGTGTCAATCCTGATTATTTATAATATTTACTATGTCATAATAATTTTAAATAATAATTATAATTTATATAATGCAAATTATAAAATTTCGTAATCTTATTTTTTAATCCAATTAATCTAATGATTGTATTTTTTTATTTTAAAGGTTGGGATCGCACCCCATTGTTCGTCTCTCTATTGAGACTGAGTCTTTGGGCTGATGGAGTTATTCACACATCGTTAAGTGCATTTCAAATTCTCTATTTTACAATTGCCTATGACTGGATGCTTTTTGGACACGACTTGAAGGATCGTATGAGTAAAGGAGAGGAGATATTTTTCTTTTGTTTCTTTTTTTTGAAACACATTCATGACGAGGAATTCAGTGTACACTCGAGGGAGCATCGTAGTCGAAATATTGTTTTAAATCATGACAGCGATTCGCAACTTCGTGATGAAGACTTTAGTACCTTTACGCCAAATATTAAAAATCGACATTCTGTTTTGCGTAATGACAGTGATTCGCAATTGGACAATGTTATGTTTGATGGCGAATCGGTTGTTGCTCTAAGTACTGTTAGCTCAAATCTCAGCCTAAATAGTTGGTGTAGTTCCGTTAGTCAGCATAGTCGCGATAGTCAGGACAACAATCCGCCTTCGGTTTTTCATTGTAATTCACAGGAGGGTCAGGATGACATTCACAGTAATGGGTAAATTTTCTTTTTTTACCCTATGAATGTAAAATCTGCTTTTAAAACTTTTATTTACTTGTAGATTTAGTTTTCATTTATTTTTATTTTCTCAAAGTTTGCTGTTATTTTCTTTTTCAATATTTGATTTCTGTTAATTAATTAATTTTGAATTTGGAAAATAATTTTTAGCTACTTAACATTCAAATAAATTAAATTGAATTAAATTTATTTTGTATTTAATTAAAGGAATTAATTTCAGAAATTTTGTGCCGTGGACATTTTATTCGTCGCCGAGTAAAGAGAGTAGTGTGAATGGATCTCGATCGCCGTTGCCAACAAATCGTACATCACCGGTTGCAGTTCCAGTTCCAGGACATCTTCGACAGAGGAACGAATCCTCTTCATCGGGGGGTTCTTGGCAAATGATTTCCGGTACTGGCAGTTTGCGTGGTTCAACAACATCAAATGCTCTACTCTCAGATGGTCTTGCGTCCAGTTTAGCTTGCAAACCACTTTGTGAAACTTGCACCGGACACGCATCACAAGAATCTAGTACTACAATTGTTGACGACGAAACTTATACATATTTAAAGTGAGTACTTTTTCAATTTGTAAATAATTTTTAGCTAAAATTAAACTCAATTGATGAAATTGAAAAAAAATTTATTAAAATTAATTGAAATTCATTAAATTAATTAAATTAAATTTGCAGAACAAGGAGGGAGAGGTTACAATGTTTACGAAATATATTTTATGGCGCTTACAATACAGTTGGTTTTAAAATGAAGGAATTTCCAGAAAGTAGTGGAATTGGACAAATTCTTGGGAATTTCGCTGAAAAGGTTGGTTTTATTTCTGTTCAACGCACATCATTGTGACCAGAAAATGTCGCATTATCGGCTTCCCCACAGATTTTTGAATTTGTTAATTGTTAATTCTTTCATTCAACATGAGAATTTTATAAGCCAATACGTGGATTATTAAATAATTGTATATTATGGTTTATTTGGATGACATGCCATTGCAATTAGTTGCGATGTCAATGTACAAGACATAATAAACTTGATATTTTTATAATATAAATAGTTTATTTTTTCAATATTCTCTAATTGTAGGTAAACATTTTTTTATTTAACAGAAAATATCTCTTAGATTTAAATTTAATTTACAGAAATTTTCATCATAAGAAAACTGTGCGTTGGATTACAGTTAAAAAAGTATGAAAATATATTTACAATCTTTTTTTCAGACAAAAAAATAATTTCTTCGAAATTCACAATATTATTACAAATTCATTAGGAAAATTATTCTCGAAGGTGAAACGTGTTCTCTGCACAGAGGACATCGAGGTTTTGTCTGTAGCCATTCAGCGAGACACGACCAACAAAATAAATGTCCGCAAGGTGTTGCAGTGTTTGAAATTTTCTCTAAACACAACTGACATTGAACACTTGTGTTGTTTGAAACATTTTTTATTTCTGAGTTTTCATTTTCTAATCGATTGTCCTTGTGAAATAATCGCAGCATAAATTGAACAATTGTCGCAATTCCTAATAATTTCAAACCCCAACTTATTCCATCAGTGGGTCGACGGCCGTAAACCTGTTTTTTTCAAAAATTAATTAATTATTTCATATAATTTTTCAAAAAAGCGAAATTTTGTACTTTACCTTAGCATAATCAACTCCTGATAATCTTTTTCCTAAACTGTAGTATCTTCCAAACATATAAAACAATCCACGATGAGCGAGAATTAATAAAGGTACAATAGCCCTTAATTTTGTTAGAAAAGTATTTAAAAATTTAACAGCATTCGGCGTCAATTCATTACGGGGATTATTTACAGAAGTTTGCAGTCTTTCGAGAATTTTCAAAAATGCTTGCTCTCCAAAACATTCTAAAATTGCTGCCAATACTCGTGCCTGAAAAAGAGACATACAATATTTAAAAAACTTATTTTGAATTTTCCACTTCATTAAAAAATAATTAACAGAGTAAATTATTTAAATACTAATAAATAAAACCAATGACTTACACTCAGAGAAGGAACTTTACAAGCATCCAAATCGACTTGAACAATTCCAGTATATTCTTCACCTAATGTTTGATTTCCCATTCCCGATGTAAGAATAAAATAAATAAATCTTGCCGGAACATCTGTTTGCATAAATTGTAATAAAGATCTGTATTTTTTAAATCTAGCCAAAATATTTGACAATTTTTCACTTAGAGTCCAAATAAAATCGTTATCTCTCTGACAAGATCGCAAAATTTCTGCCTGATTTGCACTCTTTAGTTTTTTAAAAACAAAATTCTTTTCTTGACTCATTTTTGACGGGGGTTAATTAAAATTTGAATAGTCACTTTTCTAATTATAAAGCACTTTATATTGCATTTTATTGATTTCATTAATTTCATTAAAGAATTCCAAAAAGTTGTTTCAAAATTTAGCGCTCTTTTTTACTTTCCAAAGGTAAACATAACCTTAAATTTCCATGAATGGGAATATTGTCAATCAACACAATTCACAATTTGTATCAATCATATTTTTATTTATCACAACTTTCACACAATGTGTAGACTCATAATTACTGTACGAAGAGTAATTTTTATTAAATTTTAACATGAAAAATATAATAAATAGAGAGAAGTGATAAATATTTGGTTCTGTAATTATCACCACTGTAGCCAACATACTAAAATTATTATTGACAAAACAAAAAAAATTTAAAAATGCTCAGAAATATTAAATAACAATAATAGATAAATAATTAAACCATTGGATAAAATAATATCAGTTTGAAAATAAACACATAAGAGCGTAAACTATTAAATATCCTTAAAAATAATTAAAAAGAAAGATGAATAATAAATATGTAATTTAAATTCAGCGCCATTTGTGAACGATGTCGGTAAAGCAGAGTACAGCCAATCGCAGCGCCGCGACAAGAAGCGAGTAGCCAAACTTTAGCAGCCAAAGCAAAAGCGGCGAGCAGAGAGGCATCGCCCTAGATAACGGTAGAATTGTGTAGTATCTCCTCGTTGTCTTTTTCGCAAGGGAATTACAGTGCTATTAATTTGCAAGAAAGAAAAAGTGTCAAAAACTAATCGTCGATTTCAACGTCAATATAAAGTCGCAGTTCCAATAATAGTCGTCGATGAAATTTCCGCAATACAACGGGTTCATGTTGAATCGAGTGAATCAAGAGTGACACACTAGCCGCTTCACGGTAGTATTATACGTGTATTCGACTTATAAAAGTGTACATTTATTTTCTCTCCATGAACTCATGACGGTGCAGTGACCAAGTGAACAGCGTGGCAGGAAGCGATTAATCGCCGGGGAATCTGTGAAACAGGATAGACGAAAAAAAAGGAGATTTTATTTTACAACAAGGACTTGAGACGTCGCAGGGAAAAACGAGAGTTTTGCTTGCGGGATAGATAGAAGGTAAGAGTATTAAACAATATCTATTATCTTGTGCTTTTATTTTATAATTATAAATGAAATAATAAACAAACAAAAATAACGCCACCCCCGCATGGTGCTCTCGATAAATGATTGGAATGCCGATGGCCCCCCGCACCGGAAATTGGTGCTCCCGCGCGTTTCTTACATTTAAAGGCATTAAAAAAAAATCCTTTTCTCCCCCAGGGCCCGGCAGACGCCTCCACAATATCTTGTTAATGTTTCCTAATTTGGTTAATTACCGGCGACAATCTTGTCGTAAAATTTCTTTTGTTGTTGCTTTTTTTTGCGTTTTCTAACTTAAATCATTCCCTTCCTTCTTTATTTTAAGAGGTTGGTTATTTTTTTGTGGTTTCTTCTCTCGTTTCCCTTCGCTCATCAAATGACTCATATGAGAATCATCAGGGCAGGAAATAACTTGGAAAGAAAGGAAAACCGATAGCCTTTGGGGTCTCGTGATATCTTCTCATATCTCCTCACTCGTCGATTTTCTCATCTCCTTTATGTTAATGCTTCAATATTCTCTTCTCTAGGTCTTCCAATTTGAATCATATTAATTATGCGCAAGGTCAATGAGACATGAGTGTTTCTTGACGGCTTGAAATTGCATAGAAGGAATCGAGAGTTCATTCAGCTTTCGCCTTCACTGCACGTGCTACCTCATAGATGGAGCTCGCTCGATCAAACTCCTTCATCAGTGTCAAGAACTTGTCGCCAAATTTTTCATCCACCTTGACTTGCACAAGACGATGTGATAAAGTGAACTAGAAATACCGGACACGTGTTTTAGATGTGAAAATGTCTCAGGAGAACGAATGTTCTAGGTAGGAGTTAGTTTATTGACTCTTCTTTTTCTTCCTCTTCATTCCAGACACAAAAAACGAGTATCAAACTCCTTAGGACGAGGAGACACCTTGTATAAAACAAGAGATTTTATGTTTCCTTTGGAGTTCATAATGATAAATTTCAACAACTTCCAGGGGATTGTAAATGTCTCAAGGACACGAGAATTGTCATTCTGTTGATTAGAATTGTCGTCAGAAAAAATTTTAATTAAAATTTCAACTTGAGAAATTAAACAAAATAGTTTAACTTTAGAAGTTTATTATTAAAAACCAAGAAGAGAAATTATCGAATTTTGAAATTATTTAAGGTTATGTAAGAAAAGATAATTCATCGATTTATCGCAAAATATTTCAATGAATTACGAATACGGGAAAATATCTTTTGAACATAATTTCTAAACTGTCAGTAATAGTTTTGAATTTTTATATTTTAAATTACAAATTCTAATTATAACAAAAAAAGAGTTGAATATAAAACAGAATTTAATTAGCAAAACAAAGTTTGAATGGGATAAATGTTTTAAACGAAAATCATTTAAAGTAAATGGAAGTAAATTTTGAAAGTAGAAAATTCATTTAAATTGAAAATGTTTGTTTTTAACTGTTTCAAAATATTTTTCGCAATTCTCTCTCTCTCTCTCTTTCTTTCTCTTTCACAAAGAAAATAGAAGAAAGAGTTACAATCGTAAATTACTCCTCCAAGTTTCGCAAAACGTTTATAGATTTCAGATTTTGGCAACATGACAAAACTTATACTAAACCAAAGCAATGACATCACGCATACAATAATTTCAAATTAGTCTGTCCTCAATTTTAAAAACGATCCTTTCTCTCATTGTTAAAAAGTAGGTGAATTTGGTGAAATTGAAAATTGGTTTTTGGATTTTCTTCCGATTATAATCAACTCTATGAAAGTTTAATTAGAGGGGAAATAATCAAAGGTATAGTTAATTACTAAATTATTACATAAATATAAATATAAAAAATAATCAAAGTATAGAAATATTAAAAATAATAAAAGTACAGAAATATAAAACATAATAAAAATATAAAAAAATAAAAATGTAAACAAAATAATAGAAATATAGAATTAAAGACAAATACAAAAATTGAATGATATAGTAAGAAAAGTAAGAATTTAAAATCCGAATTCTTTTTTATGAATGAAGTTGTTTGTCTCGACGCAAATATTTGAAATAGAACTTTCGTAACTGATAAGAATGGTAAACAGAATGTCATCTGTCAATACAATATTGACACTACAATTAATTTTTTTTTTAAAGTTTTTTTTGACAACTTTTCCTTTTTTTACATATTTGAATTTTTTCTTTTTTTACTTTATACTTAATTTTCTTCTTTTATTTTTTTCAACTTTTAATTTTTCTTTTACTTTTACCTACTATATACTTTTTTTTATGGAAAAAGTAAAAATTCCCCCATAAATAAATTATTAACCCGTAAAATTGACACTAAAAAAAATCCTAATTGTTCTTTTTTTCGACACCATTAATTTTTTCCCCCATTTTTGGGTGAAAGTTTTTTGTGACTCCGGAAGTGATGAACTCTCTCGCCAAACACAATTTTCGCCTATTTGGTGGAACACTTTGTATATATAGATCTATGTCGAAGGTTTTCAAAGGACTTAGGTCAAAGTGACTTTATCTTTTCGTTCTCCTCAGTGTTCTTGTTTCACGAGCAGTTTCCTTCGCGATAAAAAATGACCTACTCTCTCGCCGATCCATTCCGTAATTGTGGAAGAAGATGTTCCGCCAATTACAAACAATGTGTTCTGAACGTATAACTCTTATATATATGCTGAAAAGACTCATTGTCACAAACGTTTATTTTTTTTCACTCTGAATTAAAAAAAAGGAAAAAACATAAGTTTTTCAAACAAACGTTTTGCTTTTCAATTTGAAAAAATTGACTTCAAAAAAAAAATTTATTTGAAAAAATTTTTGTACTGCAAACATTGTTTTTTTGTTGATAATAAATCCCGTATATTGCCACGACGGAATTTTTTTGATCAATTTTATTGTTTGTTGAAATTTTATTTTTTCAATTATTGAAAAATTTTAATAATTCAAATAATTCTTCTGTTAGTTAAATTTTTTAATACACATTTAATTATTAAAAATAATTAATTCGTAGAAGAATTTTGTTTAAAAACACTAAAAAAAATTGGATATTGGATAAATTACAAATGATTGCAGAAATTCAATTATTTTCTAAATATATATTTTTATTAATAAAATTCTCTTCAAGATTTTAATTATCTTTAAAAATAATAAAATTCTTCGCCAAAATTCAATTACTTTCAAAAATTTTAATTTTGAGAAAATTCTACGCAAAGATTTAATTATTTTTTTAAAATAATCAAAATTTCACAGGAATGCAATATTATTAACAAATATTTTTATAAATTTCTGCGCAATAATTCCATTATTTTCATAAATAATAATATTTCTTATAGAGATTCAATTATTTTCATAATAAGTCATAAAATTCGTTTCAAGAATTAAATTATATTTTCATAAATAATTAAACTTATCACAGAAATTCAATTACGCTAAAAAAATCTTTTTTTTTAAATTCTCGTCAAAATTTCAATTATTTTTATAAATAATAAAATTCTTCTCCAAAATTCAATTATTTAAAAAATTTTTCCTCAATTCAATGATTTTCAATATCTACTATTTTAATAAAATTTTGTAAAAGAATTTAATTATTTAACAAAAATTTTAATAAAATTCTTATCAAAAATTAAATTATTTTCAAAAATTGTCCTCAATTCAATGATTTTCAATATCTACTATTTTAATACAATTTTGTAAAACAATTCAATTATTTAACAAAAATTTTAATAAAATTCTATGCAAACATAATTTAGTTATTTTCATAAATAATAAAAATTTCACATAAATTCAATTATTTACAAATCTTTTATAAATTGTTTCGCAATAATTCAATTATTTTCTTAAGTAATGTAATTTTTTAAGTATTCAATTATTTCCATAAATAATAAAATTTTTTTAGAAATACAATTGTTTTCATAAATAATAAAACTCATTACAGAATTTCAATTATTTTTAGTAGAACTTTAATCGAATTCCTCCAAAAATGTATAATTATTCTTAAAAATGTTATTAAAATTCGTCGAAAGAATTCAATTATTTAAAAATTTATTGATAAAATTCTTTATGAGAATTCAATTTTAAGAAACATTCAATAAATTATTTATTTTTATTTTTAGAAATTATTGAATTTTGAAAAGGTTTCAAATTAAAATCTTTTTAAATCTAAATTTTGTTATACTAATAATTATGTAGAATTAGTTTTTTTTGAAAAAGTTTAATTAGATTTTTTTA